ACACTGTTTTACAAAACCAGAAAACCATGATGGAGATGGGTTTGCCTTATTTAGGGCATGTATGGAAAAAAGCACCATTTTTGTTTTAATGTGAGTTCTTCTTTGAACACGGGCGTATTTCCAGGTGGCAGTCGGGCCCCTCCACCCCATGGGCAACCGCACTGCCTGCACTGTCTATATTTACGCCCCTGCTTTATACAATAGTGTTGTTTTTAACTGCAGGGTTGCCAAAGGAGTCAAGGGTCATGGCCATTCAGTGTTGGTTTTCAGCCTTGCCCCATACATACAGAGATTTCTCTGGATTCTCTGAACCTTCTATATTTACAAAAACCAATTAAGTGTATCAGTTTGAACATTAAATAGCTTGTCTTTGCACTGTATTCAACTGAATATAGATCAAAAATGATTTGCAGATCATTGCATTTTGTTTTTATTTACATTTTACACAGTGTCCTAACTTTTTCTGAATCGGGGTTGTAGAACTACAGCATATAATAAGACCAACATGTCACGACAGCTGGTATTGTTTTCACCTTGAGTCTATGTGTGCAAGTCATCATTACAAAATGTGGTTCTGGTGACACCCATTGTAACGGGAACAACCACAAAAGCTGTTTTGAGTATTTTGCCATATAATTACATGTCTGTCTTTCTATCTGTTTGTCTGTCTCTCCATGGACAGATTTTGTCAACCTGTTAGCGTCACAACCATGCAAGATGCAGTCACAAAACTTTACAGATGGGTAATTGAGATCCAAATGAATGCACAGTTCGAAGGGTGTGGTTCAAGCACCGGCACCGGTGCAGGGAGGTAGGAAGTAGGGAAGGGGCCATTGTACCCCACTTTATGCCCCTGGCCATCATTCATTTAGGTCACAGAAAGCTGTAGTGTTGCTGGACTCATTTTATCACACCATGGTCGGTCTCTAGTTTTCCATTTTGTTTTGTTTTTTTTAATTTATATATTATTTATATACAGTACAGGCCAAAAGTTTGGAAACACCTTCTCATTCAATGCGTTTTCTTTATTTTCATGACTATTTACATTGTAGATTCTCACTGAAGGCATCAAAACTATGAATGAACACATGTGGAGTTATGTACTTAACAAAAAAAGGTCAAATAACTGAAAACATGTTTTATATTCTAGTTTCTTCAAAATAGCCACCCTTTGCTCTGATTACTGCTTTGCACACTCTTGGCATTCTCTCCATGAGCTTCAAGAGGTAGTCACCTGAAATGGTTTTCCAACAGTCTTGAAGGAGTTCCCAGAGGTGTTTAGCACTTGTTGGCCCCTTTGCCTTCACTCTGCGGTCCAGCTCACCCCAAACCATCTCGATTGGGTTCAGGTCCGGTGACTGTGGAGGCCAGGTCATCTGCCGCAGCACTCCATCACTCTCCTTCTTGGTCAAATAGCCCTTACACAGCCTGGAGGTGTGTTTGGGGTCATTGTCCTGTTGAAAAATAAATGATCGTCCAACTAAACGCAAACCGGATGGGATGGCATGTCGCTGCAGGATGCTGTGGTAGCCATGCTGGTTCAGTGTGCCTTCAATTTTGAATAAATCCCCAACAGTGTCACCAGCAAAACACCCCCACACCATCACACCTCCTCCTCCATGCTTCACAGTGGGAACCAGGCATGTGGAATCCATCCGTTCACCTTTTCTGCGTCTCACAAAGACACGGCGGTTGGAACCAAAGATCTCAAATTTGGACTCATCAGACCAAAGCACAGATTTCCACTGGTCTAATGTCCATTCCTTGTGTTTCTTGGCCCAAACAAATCTCTTCTGCTTGTTGCCTCTCCTTAGCAGTGGTTTCCTAGCAGCTATTTGACCATGAAGGCCTGATTGGCGCAGTCTCCTCTTAACAGTTGTTCTAGAGATGGGTCTGCTGCTAGAACTCTGTGTGGCATTCATCTGGTCTCTGATCTGAGCTGCTGTTAACTTGCGATTTCTGAGGCTGGTGACTCGGATGAACTTATCCTCAGAAGCAGAGGTGACTCTTGGTCTTCCTTTCCTGGGTCGGTCCTCATGTGTGCCAGTTTCGTTGTAGCGCTTGATGGTTTTTGCGACTCCACTTGGGGACACATTTAAAGTTTTTGCAATTTTCCGGACTGACTGACCTTCATTTCTTAAAGTAATGATGGCCACTCGTTTTTCTTTAGTTAGCTGATTGGTTCTTGCCATAATATGAATTTTAACAGTTGTCCAATAGGGCTGTCGGCTGTGTATTAACCTGACTTCTGCACAACACAACTGATGGTCCCAACCCCATTGATAAAGCAAGAAATTCCACTAATTAACCCTGATAAGGCACACCTGTGAAGTGGAAACCATTTCAGGTGACTACCTCTTGAAGCTCATGGAGAGAATGCCAAGAGTGTGCAAAGCAGTAATCAGAGCAAAGGGTGGCTATTTTGAAGAAACTAGAATATAAAACATGTTTTCAGTTATTTGACCTTTTTTTGTCAAGTACATAACTCCACATGTGTTCATTCATAGTTTTGATGCCTTCAGTGAGAATCTACAATGTAAATAGTCATGAAAATAAAGAAAACGCATTGAATGAGAAGGTGTGTCCAAACTTTTGGCCTATACTGTATGTATAAACTGAAATGATAGTGTTACATAATCTGAAGGCACAACATCTGCTAGAGGACTTTCAAAGCCGATGTTCTTTTAGTCCATCATACTGTTACATGGTGCATTTACCTAAATAAAGTCATGCTAAATAGAATTACCACAAACTAATCACAAATTACTCCTTACCACAATGCACAGATAGTGAGACAGATAGGGGGTTTAGAGGGGCCCACAGCTCATTTTTGCCCCAGGGCTCTCAAGGGGGTAAATCCAGCCTTGCCCTGGACAGGTTTGAGTCTATGACAGATAATAAAACATCAGTCTCTCTGTCATATGTCTTTTCAATTACAAAAATTTAGGTGAAACTTTAAGGACAGAAAAAAGGCCAAGGCTAATCTCAAAGTTCAGGAATATTCATTCTGAGGACTCAAAAGTCAGATGGTAGCTTCTTGTCACCCATGGCCATGGTTGTATAGGGAATGGCTTGGTGTATAGATTGCCCACACAACCCAGTGCTCCCACAGACCTAGCAGACCAGTAGAACCCACCTTCATCAGGACTCCCAAATTCTCGAGCAACTCTCTGGGTAGCAATTTTACAATAACACACAACACAATGGTGGTCATCACTGTGTCCCTCTTCTCTAGTGCTGGCCTGTGGAAAACATACATAGAAAACAAAGTGGAACAGCATTTTATGATTTCAACCAAGAAAAAGCCACATGAGGCCAAATTATATAACACAAGAGCAGGCTTCAGTACATGTGCCAAGTTGTCTAGTATTTGAAAAGCATCCACCTATATGCACCATCACTGTTCCCAGAGACAGGCCAGAAAGGATGTGGTTATGGTTCTCGTTTAACTTGCCAACCAATGATTGGCTATGGTCTAAGCCAAAGGATACCAGTTTTACAATTGTAAGACTGGTGAATACATCCTGGGCCTGAGGTTTACATCTGTGGTGCCCTTTCAAAGCAAAGAGCAAATGAAAATAAAAATATGCGGGCTGGGTGTGTGTGTGTGTGTGTGTGTGTGTGTGTGTGTGTGTGTGTGTGTGTGTGTGTGTGTTGGTAAAGGTGGGGGTGAGAGGGGTTTTTTTTTGTCACTTACCTGTAGTGATATCTAACCTTGGACATTGTGTTTGGCCTATTGTACAGAACCTTTTCCATAGTCCACAAACTATTCTTAATGTTTTCTGTGCTCATATGCTCATATTGTCAGTTTTCAACCATGTGAACACCAAGAATTTTATTTTATTCATGCCCACTGCATTGAGGTGGTGGCAGAAATATCTAAGAGTGATGTCTCAAATCTGGACAAATAAAACCTCCAGTAGATGGGCTACCACAAGAGGTAAATGAGAAAATTTGTAGACTAAGTTATTCATTTAGTAATCTGGTTGAGAGTGACCCTTTAAATGCTTGAACCCTTAAATGATCTGCTCGACTGCTTGGCAGAGCACATTTTAAGTCACTATATCTTAACAAAAAATTAACTGAACTTAAGTCAACCTGACTGGGTTAACTCTACCATACAGTTTTTGTATGTAGTGCTACAAAAACCCACTAGATGTTGCTGTGTCTTTAAACATTATGCCCTTTTCGGTTCATCTCCTTCAGGAAGTTGGTAATAGAAAGTCACTTGAGATGAAAAAGACTCTGTGTGGTGGGATTTTAAATGGTAGGTATATTTTTGACATTTATTAATTTCAGAGGTCTTAATAAGAGATTTATGTAACTTTGTACAAAAAATAAAAGTTTAATAAGGGTCAAACAACTTTAAAAAACATGCAACCATGATCTACCAAATGGTTCATTTGTCCTTTCATGGTGAAGGTAGTGAAGCTAAGATATTAAAATTTACAATTTTTATTGAATACAAATAGGATGAATATTCAGTTGTTAATACCATACATCTAATGTTATTCCATTATTTATCTGATGAAAACATTTATAACAGTATGATTTTTCACCATATCTGAGATGTTTTGAAAATACTGTGATGGTATATATCCATAAATACATGAAAATAATACGGTTACTGGTGAAACAACTTCTTTTTGTTGTGGTTATTATTATGGAAAGAAAAAAATGCAAATTAAAAAAAAAATTCTTAGTGTGGACATCAAAGGTTTAACTGATTATTATTATTATTATTATCATTATTATTATTATTATTGGTGATTATATTGATAATGCCAGTGTTTCCTATTATCTCCCCACTGCATGCATTTAAAAAAGATTAAAAGTTGAGTGCTGGGGTAAAACTGATCACATCTGCCTGGTGACGTAGATGTATGCTGATGACAGATGATGCACACGTCAACCAGAGCACCTTTTTAGAGCGACAAAAGCAAGAGCCAATCGCTGTTCAAGAAACGCCTATATTTATGAATGGACCAATGGCTGAAGAGCTGAGCCGTTTAAGGAAACTATTGTTAAAGTTTGGCTGGACTTGTTTTGGTCTGGTCAGCCACCGAGACCGACGTTTTGTTGACAATGTGATTGTTAATTAACAGCTGAGTGGTAAAGAAATATTAGTGTCAAATGTTTATGGCAATGGGGTCAGTGAAACTCAACGCTGGGCAAGAAAATTCAGCGACGGCGGCCACAGTCGCAGAGGTAACACCCAGCCGACCTTCTTTAACAGTTGGTTAGCTAACGTTAACTTAGCTAACGTTAGGTTACATTAACTTAGCTTTTAGTGAGCATGTTGGCTAAATCGTATTAGCCCGATTCTCACTTGTTTCATTCTTTGGTTAAAGGTTACTTGCTACGAACTTGTCAGTAGTTAAAAACTTCTTTCCCTGAAGGCCAGCTTTCGTATCCACCGTTAACATGGCTAATGAAGTTAGCAGTGTTGTGAAAATATCAGTTAGACCAAGCTAGCTAATTCGGGTAACATTAACGTTTTTGAGTGATGGACATGAACACACGTTTTGCTTTCTGATTTATATCAAGCAATACGAAGAGTTGACCTAACGTTATATCTTGGCTTTAGAAATGCCAAGGATGGTCATTTACTACGTTTTATATTACGGTCCGGACTCAGGGGTAAAAATTAGATCGAAAAATGAATGCTACAATATTACGTCGTAGATTTACAGAAGCTATAGTGTCACATGACACATTTTACATCAGAAACGTCAGTGGTGTATACTCTTAGTAAAGTAATTAGTTTGTCCTGAAATTGCATAAGTTCAATAAGATATAATTAACTTTTTACTGTAGTGATAGCTAACATTCTGCTAATCCGTCAGATTGTGTGAGTGTCCTGACGAAGTATTGACAGATTAGCTGTTTAAGGCAACACACACTTTATACGGCATGTGGTTTTTATGGATATTTATTCACTGGCAATACAACTAACATTCTTAATCAGGTTGCAGAATATGGTACAAACCAGATTGGCCAAAAAATAGAAACATCAGGATGGCCATCATCAATACAGTGAAGATGTATCCATTCATCACCCATGATGGCACTAGTTGGGTCTAACCCATCGGTGGTGGTTAGGACTGTGAAGTGTGACAAGTGTAGATCCATAAACATTATCTACAAATCTGAAAACTGTGATGACTGAAAGTGACTCATTGGAATCTAGACATAGCTTCTGGTCAGCTGTATTACTTAGCAGAAAAGACAGGAAGTTGTCTTTGCTCAGTGACCTGCTGCAGATAGAAATGTTAGTTAAATGTGTCAGGACATCCACTCAAGAGGCTGACTGTGTTTACTTGGTCAGTGTGATATTTGATTCCAGAGGCTGTGCTCAGTTGGATCCAGACAGTCTCTGGGCAGCTGAGCTCAAGTTCACCAAGAGAAGCAACAAATATATAAATCAAAGACATTAGGATTGGACCTGAAATGATCAGACCACTAATTGATAAGTTGATCCATAGAAGATTTATCAGCAACTCTTTTGATAACCAGTAAACTATATAAGTGGGGAAGGGAAGGACTGCGTGATATATTTACTGTATTCTTGAAGGCATGTAAAACCTTCAGTATAGTTTTATGGCTTATATTGTGTATGCATCACAGTAAAGCTTGTTTTTATGCTTTTATTGTCCCACAACAGTGGTGTTTGAATCTTGGGTAAAATTGTGTTAAAGAGTACACTGCAAAATAAGCACTTTGTGAGTGATAATAATATTTATTTTAAAAAGTAATGAGTGTTATGTTTGAAAAATAATTTTTGGCCACTGTCTCCTCAGTGTCATGATGGTAAATTTAATGTCAGTTTCAGAGGATTTCAAAAAATAATTTATAATGTGCTTGATATTAGTTATGGTAAGTAATATATTCATATAAAATGCCCAGCTCTTAGTATAATCAGAATGTGGTATGTTCATGTGTTTACAGGCCAAGTTGGTGTGCCAGGGAGTAAACAACCAGAGCTACACCTGTGAGTCAGGTCACTGCTGTGGAGAGACACAGTGCTGCAGCTACTACTATGAACTGTGGTGTGAGTTACCCATCTCCTCTTTATTTATTTATTCATTCTGAGTGTTGGATGATTTATCTTCATGACACTTATAAATAACATGCCCATATATAAATTCATACTGCTCATTCAGCGTGCATTTGCTTTATTTTTATTTCATCAAACAAATATTATACTTCAAAGTAAAGGAAATCTCAAAACAACAAAGGGAGGAAGCAGAATGAGGTGCTGATGTTTGATAAAATTCAGGAGTAGTACCAGTTAAGCAAGTAGAGCCAGGCCCTGTGTATAATCTGTCATTCACAGTCTGCACTTGTTTACTTTTTTGCTGCTTGGCTGCCTGGTTGTCTCTCATTAAAATTGCACATGAATGCTTCTGTTACATAAGGACTCCATACCTTTCAAAGCAACCTCTGATTTTTTTATTCTTTTAAATTAAGTTGTTGTTTTGATACAGAGAACACCAAAGTTGACCAGTGGCAAAGGCCAAAGATAGAGGAAGGACTTATGGGGCTTAAACAAGTGAAGGGGCGTTAATGTTGACTGAGACAGGGTGTTGCTCACTACTAATATCCCTTTTCCACCAATTTAGCATCCGTACAAAGGTTTTTTTAAATACAGGTAAACCCCCTAAAAATAAAACAGTAGACCAGAGCGGTGTTTATAGCTCTGCAGCATACGAGTATGCCTTTCTGTGTGTGTGTGTGTGTGTGTGTGTGTGTGTGTGTGTCTGTGTGTCTGTGTCTGTGTGTGTCACATTCAACATCACGGATGGACTAGAAAAAAGGTTCGTAAAAACTAGAAAGCTGTAATAACATTATGGTGGTTACTTCTGTTTACATATCTTTTACTTATTCGGTCTCTCCTTCAAACTGGGTGCAGGCTAATTTGGAACAATGTTTAAGTGCTGCTTGGGGGCAGATGGACGGTGTTTGTGGTGGCATGTCATTGCATCTCGCTGGTTAAGGAGCCACCAGGGTGTTGTGTTCCCATCAATGCCGATCAGAGCTGAAGCCGATAAATACCATGATTTCTGCAATATTTTTTAAATTGAATCCACCATTTTCATATGAATTATAAATGTATTGTCTTTTAATCTTGTCTGGCTTATTATTCCAAAGGAACTTAAATATTTTTTGTTCAGAAGTTTTAAAGAAGGATGCCTCTGGTGAAGGAAGTGCCAATAGGAGATAAATGAACTGAGGAATTACGAGAGTGTTTATCAATGTAACCTTTCCTTGTAATGTCAAAATCCTTCCTTTCCAAGGTTGTAAAACGTAATCAATTTTCTCCATTTTTCGATCATAATTTATCTTAACTAAATCTTTTGGATTATCTGGAATATGAACTCCCAAAACATCTACTGAACTGTTACACCATTTAATTGGAGCTTGGCACTGTAAACCAAAATCTGTACCTCTCAATGATCCTATTCTCATAATAGTGCATTTACCAAAATTTGGCATTAGTCCAGACAATTTTGAAAAAAGTTTAAGGCCATCTAATGAAGATTTCTCGGGCTGCAGGAAAAAAAACGCGGTCCATAAGGGCGTATTGGTCCTTGCAGGGCGGACCGAATGGTTCAATATTTTACCGAGGACTGCTGCATCCCTACTGCGTATCGTGTCAATTTTGTTTCTATACCGTTTGGTTTTAATCCTGTAATACATGAGTTATTTCTAATTTTAAGAGCAAGAATTTCAGTACATAACAAAAGCAGATATGGGGACAGCGGACACCCTTTACATACGTCTCTAGACAGAGTGAAACTATTAGATAAGTGTCCATTGTTTACTATTTTACTGGTGGGTTGATTGTGCATGACCTTCACCCATTTAAAGAGAGTTTCTCCAAAATTAAAAAACTGGAGAGATTTTTGGATAAAATCCCATCTTACTTATCAAAGGCCTTTTCAAAGTCAGCAATAAATAAAAGTCCAGGTTTTTGTTTGCTTTCATAATAATCTATTGTATCAAGAAGATGCCGTATGTTATCACCGATAAAGCGCCCTTTTATGAACTCCGTCTGATCATAATTTATTATATCACCAATTATCCTTTTTATTTTCAATGCAATACATTTAGAAAGGATACGGGTATCACAGCAAAGGAGTATCAATGGTCTCCAATGTTTCATATATAGAGGATCTGTATAATGCCCTCGTGAATCTTGCTTTAAAAGTAATGTAATGATGCCCTCTTTCTGTGTATAAATATTACTGTCAACAAGAGACTGTGGTTCTTTTTCAAAAGAAAATATGGCTTTGAAATAATCCACCTCCTCACACAATATTTCCTGGGGAGACGTTAAAATAACACCATTTGTGATATGTAAATTCATCATATTTTATTTTACAAAATTACTTTGATTCAGCCTTAAAAAATGAGCAGTACACTTTTCCCCTTTTTCCATCCAAATAGCACGAGACCTATTGATGATACCATTCACTAGCTCACAATATAAATTCTCCAGTTCCAATTGTTTGTTTTTAAGTAAATAAGTTATTTCGACACAGGGGAGCTACATTTCGTCCAACTTTTTATTCAGTTCATTTATCTCTTCTATTAAGCTTCTCTCCTTCATCAAATTTTTTTTTTTTTGTTTCCACGACCCATCTTAATAGCATGACCTCTAAATGCACACTTAAAGGCCTCCCAGATGTTACTGTATGTGGGTCCGATTAGTTTTCATTATTTTCAAAAAATTATCTGATGAAATCTTTTGTTTTTTCAATAAACATAGTCATTTAGAAGCGACAGGTTGAATTTCCAGTAGCCACACCCCCGCGGATGTTCAGCGGTAAGAATTTGAATCATTACAATTGCATGGTCAGATCTTAAATGATCACCAATAACGCATTTTGACACCTTAGAAGCAAGAGAAAAAGAAATAAGGAAATAAGGAAATAATCAATACGGCTTGCTTGTTGTCCTCTACGCCATGTGTATCTATTTGAATCTGGATTTTGTAGCCTTCAAATATCCACTAGATCTAAAGGTGCCATGGTTTCTTGAATTTCACCAAGTGCCTGTGGATGGTTATTAAATGAATGAGTGCCTGCACAGCCCTTGTTCATATTTAAAACAGTATTGAAATCTGTAATATTTTGGGTTGTTTTTTTTGTTTTTTTGACAGAAAATGACATCATGAATTTTCTCAAAAAAGCTTGGATTATCTTCATTTGGAGCATATATATTGATTAAATTTATATGTAAATTATCTACAGTTACATCTAACAAAATCCATCTCCCATCCTCATCAGTTTGAACAGATTGAACAGTGTGTGTTGCTGCTCCTTCATAAACAAAATCGTAACACCCTTAATATTACTAAGGCCATGACTAAAATATATAGACCCACCCCATTCTGATTTCCATTCTAACTCATTTTCAGCATTAGAGTGTGTTTCTTGCACACATATAATTTTTACATTTTCTTTATCTTGCAGACAAGTAAAAACTTAATTTCTTTTTGAAATATTCGCCAAGCCATTACAATTATAAGTTGCAGTTGTTATACTGCTACATGTCATATCTCATATAAAGTAAAAGGTAGAAATGGAATAACCTTCTTTTCAAACTTAGTGGGGATCCTGCCTAACACTTTCATAAACAAAAAACACTTACTAAAGTATACATAAAACACAAAAACAGTGAAACATTCCTGTATTTGCTCAGCCATCGACTTAATTAAAATTTGTAGTATTATTACTGTGTCAACCCCTGTCCATTTTAATGAAATAAAACATTTATTGGTGAAAATTAATAAAATAGCAAGTCAAAAAAAAGACCATAAGCAAAAACCCATGCCAATCAGGTGATCCTCACATAAAAATAGTGATATAATGGTGGACATAGGTCTAAACTAATACTTCAGAGTATGCCTGTCGCGATATGCGATAAGTCATTTAATTGCATGGTAAATTTAAAGGGAGACGGTAACTTTTCTGCGATTAATTGCCATATCCATGCGTGTTTGTTTTCCTCGTTTCTCTCCACCAAAGAGACTGGACGACAAGAGCGTTCCCTGCTGTGCATCGTCTGGCAGCCAGGTGAGTTGGTTCATTAGCGTAATGAACGGAGGGAAAGCTCTTGTCATCGAGTGTCTTTGTCTCTGTGGGGGAGGCGGGGCTATGGGCTGCACACAAACACAAACACACACACACACACACACACACACACACACACACACACACTAGTGTTGCACGGTATACTGGTACCAATGGTAGACCATGGTACTAAAACACCATGGTACATATGATACCATAATCACGGTACACGACTGTGGGATAAGTTCAAAGTCCAGTCACAAGAGGGTGAGTGCCCATGCGCCGTCCAATAACGGCGCGTGCTGGCCACCTGGCACTCAATATGCTGCTGCAGTGGTTTGTTTTCCAGTGACATTTCAGGTATTAGCTGAGCTATTGGGTGTCTTTAAGCAGTGAAATTTATTCTTTCTTTCTTTTTACTTGTAGGCTAGATTTGTTTATATATGCTACAGTGATTTGTTTTCCACAGAGCTCTACGGTGCAAGCATTTTACTCGCATTTGCGACTAAAAATAGTTTTGTGCAAGCAAAAGAAATCATTCAGGAGCACGCTGTGCGAATACAGATTTCACCCAGCAGCAGAAATGAAAGGCGAATCCTGCTGGTTGTGGGTTGAACGGGAGTCAAATACGGCGTCAAATACAGCGGCCATAGTGCTCCACGGCGCAAGATAACGGCTTACCGGTGACCGAGAAGCCAGCATCCAGGTCCAATAATTTCCTCTTTGTTGGTGTCATGACTGAACAGCTGACCTGAACAGCTGAGCCATGGCGGCACACAGGTATGTGACGTGTCAGAGGAGAGACGAGCCGTTCACATTTCTCTCTTTGTGGCAGGTAACAGTCCACAAACCTCACCACACTTAAGGGACTGTTCTTTACTTGTCAGGGGAGGAGGGTGGCTTGGTGATTTTTATTTTATTTATTAATTTTATTTTGATCCCCCCATGTTAATCACTTATTGATGCTGTTTTT